AAGCTCAATATGTTCCTGTAGTTATATAGAGCCAGTAGTCTAATCATTATATCAAAAGAGCTCTGTATACAACCACCTGAGATGGCAGGAGGTGCCTGGTTTCCAGGATAGAATTACTGCACTGATTCATTCAGCAACAAGGACAATCTGGGCTTCAATACAATCCTTTACTGCACGATGCCCACTCCCCTCTCCATTTTACCTGGAAAGGACTGCAGGGAAGATTTTATAAATTTAAAATTACATTTCTGTGAATATTCTTTAAATCCCTTTTTAAACAGTGCTCAAGATTACTGTAATGGCTCTGTAGATTTGTATTAGCAGGTATTTAAGAAAAAACACTGTCCTAGAAAATGTCTCCCTTTTTCAGAAATGTTATGTTCCTTTGAAGAAGAAATCAAGAATTAAAACTATATCAACCATTTTAGGAAAATCTAGTTCAACTGTGCTATGTTTACAAAACTTTCCAAGTATCATCTTAACTGATTAAATCTGGAGAAAGTACTGTTTATTAAATTATTGCAACTTTGTCTTTTGCTAGTACAGCCTTCTCTGGCCCACTGTTTTTAGCATTGTCTGTGCCAATGATTCTTTTGAGAATTTGATAAAAAGCGATAAATCAATCCTCGCAGAAGGAAAATGTTAATACAGCACCGGGCATTTAGCTCAGCGGTTTGGTGGCCTGCCTCGCAAGCGCAAGGACCCGAGTTCAATCCCAGGTACCAAAAAAAAAAAAAAAAAAAAAAAAAGAAAAGAAAATGTTGATACACACAAAACTGTACATGTAATTTCAGCGTTCATGAATCCCTTGAAATACCAGATTACTAAGTCCTGCTCTCATGAAGAGATCATCGATGACATTTTGCATTAAATAACACACAGGTTAGCAAACTGTTCTCACGTCGATAAATCTTCTCTTTCGATTGCTTTGTCCATCATAGTAACTACTGCATAGAAAGAGCAAACTGCAACCTATCATTGCACAACTCTTGGAACAACTTTTCAAGTACAGTTTAAAATAAACAACAGGTTTTGTTATTGGTGGTGGTGTTTTCTGGTTTGGGATTTTTCATCTGTGAGGATATCTGATGGGTAATTTTCCACTCAAAGCAACATAGTTAAAACTCAGGCCACTGGGAACAAAATGCACGTGGACACACACTACAATAACATTAAATCACTATTTCACACCACAAACTTGAAAAATACCCTTTGACATTTACGAAATAAGAAATTTAGGTCTAACAGAATTCACAGCAAAATATCGCCTATCTACATAAGGCAATGGATATGGAGGAAAATCATAAAACCTTTATTGGAAGGAATAAAAATTTCCAAAGTAGAAAATAACAGATGCCTAAAGAAAATTAAGACGCCACATAAGAGAAAAATTCAAAAGGAAGTTACTGGTTAAAACAATGCCAAATTTTTCCAAGTTGTAAAGGAGTTTGAGGACCAGGCAAATACCACACTAGCTTCCGAGTTTGAGTCAGACTCGGTAGAGAAGGCAGATGTTGGACAGCAAAGGACTAAGAAATCAGCGCGTAGTGAGGAAGTGAACCTGCTGAGAGGAAGCTACTGTTCTGAAACTTCTAAAGGCTGAAGGATAAAAAGGGACCTGCAAGTCAAAAGGAATCATGGCAAGGTCAACAGGAGTTTCTGTGTAGTTGGTGACCCTGTGTTAGGCACTGGGGACACAAAGAGTCGAGGCATGCCCTCATTCTCTCAGGACTCATAGTCTAGCGAGAAAGACAGGTTCAAATGGGTAATTATAATTCATGAACAAGACAGGTCTGCACAGAGCTCTAATGGAAAACAGGAGACGTGACCTGTAGCCGAGTTCAGGAGGGCAAGGAGGTACTTCCTCAAGGGTGATGCCTAAAAAACATCTTAAAGAACAAGGAATATTGAAGCCAGAGGGAAGGAGCCTTCCACTCTGATAAGACCTCACGAGTAAATACGGAGAACAACTAGTATAGTGGTACAGGCTGAATGCAAGGCTGGGAGCGGCAAGAGTAGCAGAGTGCCCAGTAAATTAGTACACGAAATCATCCGCTTGGAAAGTGGCAAGTGTGGAGCTGGCAAGGCACCTTACCAAAGGGAGCGACCAAGGACCCAGGCAGGGGACATCTGCAGGGCACCAACAGACTGAGAAGATGGGGAAACTGAGGGTCAAGACTGAGACACAGAATGTGCCACAAGGCATGGAACAAGGTTGTATTCCAAGAGGAAGAGCCTGAGCCTGGGTTCCTGGAAGCAAAGCAGCCAGAGCAGTAGTAACAGTCCTGGGGAGGAAGAGGCAGGGAAGTCTGTCCACAAGGTGGGGTCAGCAAGCAGGGGAAGGCTACAAATCCGAGGCTGTGCTTACCACAAAGGCAGAGGGAAGAATGCAAGCAATGTAGTCAAGAGAAGTCAAGCCCTGGTTTCATCTTGCAGCACTGGACGAGCCACATCCCTCTCCAGGAGCTCCCTTTCTAGGCTTGACTGAACAGCCATTTAAACACCTAAAGTTATGTCGGCCAGCTTTCCCACATGGAAAGGACAGTTGTAAGGCTGAGAAGAGGGTATTCATAAATTTCATGTAAGAACTGTCTTTACTGTATTTCCTCCAGAACTCACCAATGATACATTAGTAACTTTCTTTAGTAGAGGACTTTAATCTTCAAATTTACAAAGCTCTCTCACATATATTCTCCAATATAAAATCCTAACCACCATCCTGTGAGGGCTCTAGAATCCCCATTTTATGAATGAAAAAAATGCAATTCTACAAGGTTGAACCAATTTCAACTTCGGATTGGTAAAATAATCTTTTTCTCTTAATACAGAGATTCTATTTGTCATGGTTCACTAAGATACCCAAGACTTAATTAGCACTTGGATTCTGAGAAGTCAATCCCTCAGAAAGTAAAGAGTGCCCACTAATTGTACTAAAGCTAAAAATGTCATTCTAGGCATCCAACTGATTACCTGGTTACTGAAATAAACCAAAGAATCTGTCTGACCTTTAATAAACCTTCATAACATTCTAAGAAAGCTCTGTAAGTGAAAGCAAATCAAAATAAGAATATAAATACTCACCCAAACAGTTCAGTATGAATATTGAAACTTAGCGGGGGGGAATCTTAATTCAATCCATCTACTCTTGTGCAATTGTGTAAGTATAACAGTGAGTCAGATCAAAGTGATTTTATTTTCCTAATAATGGGTTCTTTCTCTTTAGTAACTCCAGAACAGGCTTAGGTTCCAGGTTGTAAATCAAAATACCTTGTTCATACCAACTATATACTAACCTTGCCAATCAAGAAACCAAACAAATTCCTAGGTTTTTAAAAGCATAACATGAATTTTAATTACTTACTAATTCTCCTTTCCTTGTTAATTAAGCCACTAAAAGTTCATTTATATAAAAAGAATATTTCTTATTTCCCTGATGGTTATAAAAATCTCCTTGTATTATTTTCTAAACTATAGATAGCAAGCAGCTCCTCCGGAAAAAAGATCTGTTTTAAAAGAAGTTACAAATATATTTTCAAGTCAGACAATATTTTATAAGTCAATTCCTAGAAGAATTTAGTACAATAGATTTTATGTAAGTTAATTATTAACAAAAAGGCCTGGTGCCAGGAATTTAGCTCAGTGGTGCCGCTGCCAGCCTCGCAAGCACAAGGACCCTAGTTTGTTCCCCTGTACCAAAAGAAAGGCCTGTATTTGGTATCATTACATGGCCATTTAGAACTTTGAGATGAATAGCAAAAATCTGTGAATTTATACACATAGCATGTTCTACAGGAAATTCTGTACCAGACTGTCTTTCATACATAAGCCCAATTTAAAAAACAAAAAAGGACAATCACTGAGTTAATGTATATAAGACACTACTATGTAAGAGCAACATTTTACCAGCAGAAAGAATAAAGCACCTCAGCATTATAATTTTATTGTTAAGAGCATGCTGTGTAGTATGCTCTTCCAAAATGTTCATTTAATAACTGGAAGAAAAAAATAAGAATTGCTTTTTATTTTTTTCCTTTTTTCTTTATTGGTACATTTTAGGTATACAATACAGTTACATTCATCATCAGGATCTTGTACCTTTACATAATATATCTTGGTTCTTGTTTTTTCCCCATACCCCTGCCCTCCCTTCACCCACTCCACGCTTCCCTATTTACAGAGAATTTGTTTCCATTTTTTTCTTTTTCTCTTATTTTTTCTTTGCCTTTCTTAGCTTTCCCTTACTCCTCCCACTTCCCCTATACCTGTAGACATTTTTTCCTATTACACAGTATCAATTATACATTTTGATTCTTATCTACACTTTTAGTTTTTTTATATGTTTACCAAACGAGGACTAGAACTGTCACTTTTATTCTTATGTTTAGAACTCAAGAAGAAAAAACTACCTGCCAAAATACACACAGAAGTATAGAAAATGAAACCAGATCCTCATATTAAATCAAATCATATGTGGATTCTGCCATCTCAGGTAAAGTCTGTGGTCAGCTGCTGCTGTTAGCTCAGCAATTTTACTTGGCTATTAACTACAATGATGACATTCAAGAAATACAAAAAACTTCAGTCTTGAACAGACAGAGAACAGTTTTGCTTGACTCCAACCATGATGAGTTCCTTCATCACTTGGTAACAATGTCTACAAGCAGATCTGAAAGATTCAGAAAAATTATCCTAGAAGGGAATTGAATAGAGACTCATTAACAACAACCTAAAAGGATTTGTGCTTTCTTTCTTTCTTAGATCACTATTGCAGTGACTTCATTCAGCTCATGTTGCAGTTCATCCTGAAAAATAAAAGAGGTTAACATGTCCTTTGTGGTATAATTAGGAGGATCAATTTCAACTTGTAGGTGCACTGCTCACGTAAATTTCCAAAGATGAAAATTACCTGACTAAAATAGTTTGTATGCAGTAATCCTACTGAGCAAATTCCCTGTTCAAATGTTTTAATGTCAAAATAAAAACGCCACTACAATACTCACTTTTAGTTTCTTGTTTAGTTTACAGCAGTATCTGTACATCATTGCCAAGTTCAGAGGTCCAAAATCTGCATAGAAACTGAGATTTTAAAAAAGGTAGTATTTAGTACAATTTTCAGTGAAATCCATGCTCATTTTGTTAAATTTTCAATCAATTTCAATGATCCTTCAGGAATAAATATCATTATGTAAATAATCTGATTTGTGGTAATCCAAGTAAATAATGGTTTCACCTTAATTGTGTCCTTCAATTATTCTAACACATGTTTTAGAGATGTAGTTGGGCAGTATTGAATTTCATCTCCTTTTTCTCCTTGCCTTGTCACCCAAGTAAAAGTACTGAATAGCAGGTAAGGAAATAACCAATATGAATATAACATGCACAGGGCCTCTACATCCTGCTTTTATTTCTTCATCAACTGGCTTGTCATGACGCTTACGTACCCTGGTTTCCAATTCCAACCATTCTGTTCCAATGCTCTCAGTTCTCAAGTATCTTAAATCCACTCTTCACTCTCCTTGAACTTTCTGTACGATAAGACACACTGCCCCACTCTCTCTCTCTCCGTCCCTGTAGCCCCCCCAAGGATACGATCCTCAATCTACAGATATTCTCTTTTATCGATCGTCATGAGTGAACCGGCAACCCAACAAAGAAGAAATGTCTCTTCCACCTGAAATGCTGCAGCAATCTTCTCCATCTTCCCACCCTCTGCTGTTTCCAGGACCCATTATCTACAGCCTTTTCATCCCCTGGCACTGGAGATGTATAAACCCATCTTTCCTTCAAATAAGCCTCGGCACTAAAATACATTTCGCTTCTCCCAGTCACTCAAACACCAGAGAGCAAAAACTAAATACTGATTTAATCATGTTATATCACATGAGCTACTACTCTAACATCTCTTCCCTTTCTGTTCCCATCTTAGCAACTGAAATCCAGAGCCTCTTCATTTGAGGCTTGCACTGTTGAAATTCCGTCTCCTTTTCCAGTCATCCTGTTCCCACAGAGATCAATCTTCATAAAGCCTCACAGCTCACCTATCATCCCACTGTTCAGAAGGGGTGAGCACTCCTTACGGCCTTATTAATTCCTTGGCCAGCAATCAAAGCCTCACACAACGTGCCCCTGACTTCCAGGCTGATCTGACCTCCTGACACACAAGTGTTCAGCTTTTTCATTTGTCTGGGCCACACTGAGCAAAGAGGAATTGTCTTGGGCCACATATAAAAATATACCATATAATTAGCACATAGAAGTAACAAAACTTCCTGTTTATGCTTTTTATTATAACATTAAAATGAAATAAAACTAAGTCCCAGTTTAATAATTAAGAAAACATACATATATGCTTAAAAACAATAAACAGGTGTCTCCATGGGCATAAATGAACAGGCTGAAATACAGTTACTGGCAAACGTAGGTAGGTTGAAATAGTTTATCGGTAATCACTGTATTTTACTCTCCAAGCCACACAAGCACATGACATGGCTGATATGTGCAGGTTCTGATTCAACTGGTTGTGTGTGGTGGGCACGGGAGGTAAAGCTAGCCACGCACTGTGCCTTTCCGCACACTGTTGTCACCTACACACTCTGCATTCAAGCACCATGCAATCTGCTCACAGGCAACATAGCTAAAAATCACAAAATGATGTCAAAAGTTTGCAATCTTGTGAGGCTACATTACTGTCTGGGGTTGAGGGTGGGACCTGCCTGCACTAATAGGTTCTATATGAAACATTCATTCCAACAAACATACTCCTGATTTCCAAATGCTCCATATGGGGGCTGGGGATTTAGCTCCGTGGTTCCACTGTTTGCCTTGAAAGTGCAAGGCCCCGAGTTCAATCCCCGATACACCGCTGAGATTTTAAAAAAAGTAGTATTTAGTACAATTTTCAGTGAAATCCATGCTCATTTTGTTAAATTTTCAACCAATTTCAATGATCATTTTGTTAAATTTTCAACCAATTTCAATGATCCCCCAAAAATAGCAACTCCAAATGCTCTATATGTATCTCTCTTTTTTTAGCATGATAGATTTTTTAAAAAAGGATGCCTTTAGCATTTCCCTGGAGCAAATCTGTCCATACTGTCCACACTGACCCCTTCTTCAGACCCCTCCCAACCTGGCTCACATATGATTTTCCCCACAGTCTTTCCATTCACCCCGCCTTTCTTTTAGGTATCAGGGATTGAACTGGGAACCTTATGCTTGCAAGGCAGGTGGTGGCACCACTGAGCTAAATCCCCGACCCCCGTTCTCCCTTAAGAAACACTAATTACCCTCTCCTCAAAGTCTTCAAAACTGTATTCAAAACTGTATTCCACATATGTACAAATTAGATGATGTGATATGCCAATGGACAATACTGGTAAAGATGAAAAGATAGAAACAAAAATAACAAAAACCACTAAAGAAATTCCCAAGTATCAAGAAGAAGTATAAATAAAATATTTGAAGATAGTATCTTTTCCTTCAAGGGCCCACTTATTTTTCCCAATATAGAAATTAGACCAAGGGAAACATTATTCTCTTAGGTTCAAAGACATGGTATTTCCAAAAAGTCAGTGTGGGAGGAGTTAAAACAGGGATAACAGAAAGATAAGAGAGGATCTATTCTCCATCCTCCTTAATGGTCCCTAGGAAAGACAGACTGCTATAACAGCAGGTTGCTCTCCAAAAATAACTGATGAAGATGCTACTGTTTTACGCAGTTGTAACTCAGGAAACGTCCCACCCCAAAATATCTTCATGATCGATGGGCCTGGCCTTATATTCCACAAAACGTTGGATAGTCTTCAAGTCACACTAAAAAAAGATCAGTCAAAAACTTTTCACAACCATGAGCAACTCAGAGCAAGTCTTCAAAAGCCAGAATCATCACAAACAAATATAAAGTCAAAAAACTATCTTGTAAGGTCATTTGCTATATCCCTTCTTTGTCATGTTTATAAGAATGTTTATATATTTATAATATTATTTTTCCCTAACTAAATACATTTCTGATAATGCCAAGGTCATCAAAAAAAAGAGTTACAGTTCCTCATACTACGCTACATTATCACTACTTTTACATTTAAAAATGCTACAAATAAAGAAAACACCTTCCAGTAACATGCTTCTTAATAAGAATCTTCCCTAGGGTGAAGGGAGGGAAGGGACAAGGGGAAAAAATGAGAACCAAGATCTGTCATGTAAAGGTACAAGATCCCAATGATGAATATAACTGTACTGTATACCTAAAATGTACCAATAAACTCAATGAGGAAAAAAAAATAAGAATCTTCCCTAGAAGTAGGGAAAAATAAAACACATTTATAATAAAGATGATTAGCTAGAGGAAAATATTAAAATTTTCAAATCAACTAAAATCAGTGTAAATAAGTCAAATAATGCTAGTTAGAGTAGAAAATATGTATTTTGGAAACTTACAACAAAGGCAAGTCAATGACATAGGTTCAACATAGGAGAGAAGAAATGTAACACTGTCAACCCAGGGACAGTGAGCAGGGAAGAGAAACAGCAGAGATAAAGTCCCTTAGTGACTATACAGAAATCTGAGGGCAGAGTGGACCCCTTTAAATTGACCTGTTGACCTTCCGGCAGTGGACAATGCCTCCTCTGTTCTAGCATTACAAGGAAAAGGTCGCCACAGCCACGGCCAGGCACGACCCCCACTTTGCCTGGGTAGAGAAGGGTATTCATTCGGGTAGGGAAATCCATGGATATGTGCTTTTATTGTCTCATAATACCCTGATTCCCACAGGAATGAATGAACGAACAAATGAGTTTCTCTAACTATGCAGAAATTTCCTCTAATAAATTTATAAAAGTATGAATCGACTATAATGAAGCAGCAAGAATCAATCTGTCTTTAGCATTAATAGCTAAAATCAAATCTGTTCCTGTTTTGACAGGGAAGGAATTTTTAAAACTGGAGCAAGCAGAAGTAGTGGGGAGGAAAGAAGGTGATCTCCTTAGAGGAGCAACTACAGGAGAAAGAAGAGCTGAAGGATCAGGTGCACTTGGGGTCACCCACAGAGTCACCCACTGCACACAAGTGTTGGTCCCACAGATATGCAAATGGCCAGTGCTAAGGCTGAAAGCTTTCTTTCCTACCTAGCATGTCCAGCCTTCTCATAAGATTCAAGAAGTTTATAGTCTATCACTATTTTGTCTAAAAAAAACTAATTCTGCTGAGTCTGTTCCCAGAGGGATCACTGAAGTACTGTTATCCTTATTCTATGTATTAGAAGTTGTAGGTGAACATCTTCAGCTCCTCTGCAACATTACTCACATATTCAACAGTCTATTACCACCTGTTCTGAGCAAGATGCTACAAGTTAAGGTGTTAATCCAAGAACGCTTATTATTAAAAAAAAAAAAAAACTACTTTAAAAATAGGATGAAAAAATTCCATAGGATCATAATAAGGTATCCCAATCCTTTATTTTTTTTTTTTACCAGCACTGCTGATATGTTTTGTCTGTTCATTTACACATTCAATACGTACTGAAAGCCAGTCCCTACTCCCTAGGACGTCACCATCCACTGAGAAAATGGTATTATCCTATAACTGAGATTACACACAGGCATACATAAATATAAAATTTGGGTGAAATTAAACAGCACAACCTCTGGACTACACACACCAACTATTTTCTTTTTTCTTTATTCTTTTTTTTTTTTTTTATACTGGGGATCGAATTCGGGTTCTTGCAATTGCAAGGCAGGTGGCGGACCACTGAGCTAAATCCCCAGCCCACCAACTATTTTCTTTACTACTCAATGTTATTAGCACCATTCCAGTCAGATGATAAAGTTCCTGCACCTGACTGTACTCATAATGACCATATTTTTAAAGGTCATAAAAGTTCAGTGAATACTAACCTAAACTAAGGGCACGCAGCAGTTTTTGCTCAGACGCTAACAGCAAACGACCCAAAGTCACATCAATGCCAACATCCTGAGGAAAAGCAACTCAATAACAAGCCTTCCGTGCACATAAAAGTCTACTGTAGAACTAAAGACCAACAGGAGCCAGGGGATTCCAGTCCCATTTTGGTCAATCC